GGGTCGCTATGGGTCGGAACCGACTCGACGGCACTTAACAACAACAACAACAAGGAGCTCTGGTAGCTTAGTGGTTACGAGTTGGGCTGCTAACCTCAAGGTCAGCAGTTCAAAATGACCAGCTATTCTGTGGGAGAATGATGAAGCTTTCTGCTCCCATAAAGATGAACAGCTTCGGAAACCCCGTACAGGGTCGCTATGAGTAGGAACAGATTCCACAGCATATAACCACCACCACCATAATCAATATATCTTGATTTGGGTGAGGTGCTGAAGGATAAGCACTGCACTGTTAATTGCTAGGTTGGCAGTTCAAATCCACCATTAGCTCCTCAGAAACTCTATACAGGGTCACTGCGAGTCAGAAGTGACTTGATTGTAATTAACAACAACAGCATTTTGATTTTGGAGACACTGGTAAATCAGAAAAGAAATCTATGCATAAAGCACGATCATCCTTGAGAACAGTTTTTTGTTTGTTTTTTCCTTGTCTGTGTTATTATAAATAAGTCTCCAGTTGAGCTCATCAAATAATTTGTAGATGGGTACCATCATCAGGAAGTCTAAAACAAGTAACTGAGCAATTATGGCTGAACTGAAGGATTGCTCAAATCCTAGATAAAGCTGGTAGATAGAAGTCACAAATATAAAACTGGTTTGTGTACAAGTACCAGAAATCAAAGACAAGCAGTAAACCAGACCAAAAAACAAAGAATAGTAGTAATCAGAAACCACAGATTTTGTCAAAAAACGTAAAACCTTCCACACTAGAAGTTCCACAACAACAATTAGATCATGAAGGAGCCCTAGTAGAATAGTGGATTTTAAACAGGATTGTTAACTGCAAGGTCAGCAGCTTTAATCTACCAGTCACACTGCGGGAGAGAAATGAGTTTTTCTGCTCCTATAAAGATTTACAACCTCAGAAATCCTATACAGGGTCAGTATGAATTGGAACTGACTTGGTGGCACACAATCATCAGCACCAACTTGATCGTGAAGCTGAGTAAGTATTTCTTCCTGGGGCAGAAACCAATCCCAAAGTTTTATGTACCCCATAGTGCAGCTGCTGAACCCCATTAAAAAGATGATAAGGTTAATTTAACTGAAACAGTTAGTATGGAGGTGAATGTAAATTTGAATATGAATTTAAGTCAATGTCATAGTTAATGTAAATGACCTCTTAAAACTGTTCTGTTTTAATTAAAATTTTTTTGGAATAAAATTTGTATAAAATTGTTTGCTTTGTGTAATAATAATGCATTCTCTTCATACAACATACATGTTCAGTTACGAGGACTCGTCTGTTTATTGTTTACCTGATGCAATAAGCACTTTATTTTTCTTTGATCTTCTCCTCATTGATATCTAGTTTTATTTTTAATTTTATTGCTTCTAATACAAATACTTTTGCATTTATATCCTGACCAATTTCACTCTCAAATGACACACAGATTCAGTGAAACCAAAGTTACTGAGAGTGACTGTAAGAATTTGAGTAAATGTCACCAAAATTTTATGAGGAATGAATGTGTCTTCTCTCAAAAACACAGATTGTTGATGCTTGAATATGGTTATGAATTATGTGCTTGGGAAATTAAACAATATTACCAAGGTAAATGCAAACTGTGAGTACAACAGGGTAAAAAAAGGTTGCAATATTACTAAAATTTCTAGACTTCTAAGGCAACTTTACTATTTCCTTCACTTTGACAACTACTTTATTATTTGTAAATATTGTCATACCTCCTCACTATCTACTTAAGCATAATACATTCTCTTGTTACCCGGAGTGAAACCAGTGGAAATTAAGCATATTAATGGTATATTATGAATTAAAGGTCACTGAGAATATTGATTTCTAAAACTGTAAACAATAATGAGAGTTATTTCCATGTAATTTCTTAGAACTATTAATGAACACCACGTAATTCCAGGAAACACAGTTAGTAGTGTCCATTGTCAATAGAAATTAATATTGTTTTATGAAAACTAGTTGCTTTGGTTTCTACCTTAGCTTATAAAACAGGTTAATATTTATCCATTTATTCATTAGATATGGCTTACCTTTTCCCCTATTCATCCTTTTCAGAAATATACGATTAGCACCTAATATGTGTTAAGTTTCAGGGAGCATTGTATGTATTAGGAATGCCTCAGTGTATGAGAGATAAAACGGTGTCCTCATTGTGTTTATTCTCATTTAAATGGATATGGGAATAAATTGTTAAGTGCCATCAAGTCAGTTCCTACTCGTAGCTATCCTGTATAAGGTTTCTGAGGAGTGAGTGGTTAAGCTTGAACTGTAGACCTTGTGGTTCCCATCTGATCTTACAACACCACAGCAAGAGTCCAATTATATATATATATAATTCGACAATTGCGTAGTGGTTACGAATTGGGCTGTGAACCACAAGGTCAGCAGTTCGAAACTACCAGCTGTTCTGCTGGAGAAAGGCGTTCTGCTCCCGTAAAGATTTACAGCCTCGGAAACCCTGTACAAGGTCGCTATGGGTTGGAATCGACTCGATATATATAGTAGTTGTTGTTGTTAAGTGCCATCAAGTCAGTTCTGATGGCATCTGGTAGGTTTGAACCACTGACTTTGTGGGTTGCAGTCCAGTGCTGATCCTACAGCACCACTCCAGGAATCATGTAAATATATACATTGGTATAGCGCTGTGGATTAATGCAAATATGTATACTGGTGTGGCGCTGTGGGTTAATGCGCTGGTCTGCAACTTGGTTTGAACCTCAAGGTCAGTAGTTCAAGCTCACCAGCCACTCCTCAGAAATCCTATACAGAGGCGCTACGTAACAGAACTGACTTGACAGCAGTTAGCATAGCATACACACACGCACAAACACACACACACATATATATACATGTATCTGTATGTTGTTATGTGCCGTGGAGTCGGTTCTGACTCATAGCAACCCAGTTCAGGGTTTCCGAGGCTGTAAATCTTTGCGGAAGCAGAAAGCCTCATCTTTCTCCTGCGGAACAGCTGGTAGTTTCGAACTGCTGACCCTGAGGTTCACAGCCTGATTCGTAACCGCTAGGCTACCAGAACTATATATCTGTATATAAACACATTATTCAGTAGATTGAACTATTTACAAATACTTGATTACATCTATATATATGAAAGAATGACGTAAAAACACAGAGAGAAACAGAGAAAAACTTATTTGCTCTCAAGTATAGTCAAGGTTGAAAAGTCCAATATCTGAAGTCAGGTGATAGACTGCGAACTGTCAGTCTTGTGTCTAAAATCAGTAGGCCAGATGGTGCTATGGAATTTCCAGGATTTTTATGTGACAATCTTGAGGCAGAACCTCTCTCTTTTAAGAAACTTCAGTTTTTGCTCCTAAAGTGTTTGATTGAATAAGGGCTGCTAACCTTAGGGTCAGCAGTTTGAAACTACCAGCTGTTCAGATGGAGAAAGATGAGGCTTTCTGCTCCCATAAAGATTTACAACCTTGGAAACCCTGTATAGGGTTGTTGTGAGTTGGAACCGACTCCAGGCATATAACAACACTTTATGTCAGTTGATTGAAATGTGAATCATGGATAAATACTTTCATAGAAACAGCTGTTGTTGTTGTTAAGTGCCTTGAGTCAGTTCTGACCTATAGCAACTCTGTACAATGTTTCCTAGGAGTAGTTGGTATGGTCTTAACTGCCAATCTTGTGGTTAGCAATCCAGGGCTTATCCTACAACAACTAGATTTGTGTTTTTTCAGTTAGACACCATGTCCTAGCCAAATTGACATAAAAATTAACCACCATCCTGGGAATGATACATATAAAACTTTTTGTGTCTACTGGTGTTCCACTATTTGGGGTCCTAAATACCAACATGGAGTTCTGATTCGATGCTGGTACAATGCACTGGATCACAAGGTTGGTTTGAACCACAAGGTCACCTGTTGACATTCACCAGCCACTCCTCGGAAACCCTATACAGGGTCACAATGAGTTGGAACTGACTTGATGGCACTTAATAACAACAAAAACAAAATACCAGTATGATAAGAATGAACCTGTTTTAATTACTATTGCAGGTAATGATTTGTCTAGTTCAACATTAAATTACTTTGGAACCAAAAAGTAGTATAACTTTTCTTTCAAAGGAATTAAAGATAGTACTTACAATCTTCAATTACCTTAACTCTGTGCTTATCTCCAGGAAGAATCTTGTTCACATTGAAATAAACTATAGTGACTTAAATTATAAAATAACACAGCAGCAAAAAGCAGTGAGTATGTCTGAGTTACTTGGTAAGTGTTATTTATATGATTCTAAACTTTCTCTTCTATTGGTCATTTTCCCTTTTATATTTAAGGTTTGGTGTCTCCAGGCCCCCTTGCTAATTGAGTATGGTGGTCTTCCTTAAGAGATGCCTCAGAAGAAAGATTTAGTGATTTACTTGCAAAAAAATCACCAGTTGCAAACCTTATGAAACACAGTTCTACTCTGTATTGGGGGTCTTCATGACTGGAAATAGACTCAGATGCAGGTGTTTTTATTTGTTTGTTTCTAAGTTTGATGTTCAGCTCATCAATGGAAGAAAAGGAATCAATAGTACCTATCACTTGCCTGCTATTTAAATCTGACACTTTTCTTTTTGTTGTTGTTAAGTGTTTTCGAGTCGGTTCTGATCCATAGCGACCCTGTACAGGGTTTCCTAGGAGTGGCTAGTGAGTGTGAAGCTTTTCTGCTCCCTAGAACATACCTCAGAGAGGCTATTATTCATCCTCTTTTACTTAGCATCTTTATTCCTTCCAGAATTTCCCCACATCAAGTGATTACTGTGATGTGTTTCACCAAATCTAGCTTTGTGGGGGATGCCAGCCACCTCCTACCTCCACACAGAGCTAAAAGGAAAAATGTGAACATGCAAAGTTGGACCTTTAAGATATAACCTCTGTCTGCTCATTTTCTTTCTTTAGTTTTGACCAAACATAACTTCTATTTTCCTGGATCGTCATATCATGTTAGAGGAATCCAGATAAGAGAGAGAAGATTGTATTTTGTTCTTTTTAAGTGCTGACAAGTCACTTCCAACTCGTAGTTACCCTGCATAGAGTTTCTGAGGAGTGGCTTTGAACCAGTGACCTTGTAGTCATCTTGTAAAGAGTCCAGTGCTTATCATACAGTGTGTTTTGTTGTTGTTATTGTTGTGAAGTGCCATTGAGTTGATCCTGACTCATAGCGACCCTGGTATAGGGTTTCCAAGGAGTGGCTGGTGAATTTGAACCACCGACCTTGCACTTTAAACCTACCTTGTGGTCCAGTGCAGTAGAGTCAGAGAAAGCAGCTGAGGCCTGAATGTTGTTAAGTACCATCAGCTGGGTTCTGGCTCACAGTGACCCTTTATAGAGTTTCTGAAACTTTAAATCTCTGTAGAAGCGGAAAGCCTCATCTTTCTCCCATGGAGCAGTTGGTGGGTTTGAACCTTAGTCCAGTGCTTGTCCTATAAAGCCACCATGCACCCATGTGGCCTTGAATAAGGAGGAAATATACAGGTTCCCTAAAGCTCTTGGAGAAGCTTTATACTGCATTACCAAGTAACAAAAATTGTTGTTAGATGCCATCCAGTTGGTACTGACCCATAGCGACCTTATGCACAGCAGAACGAAACACTGCCTGATCCTGGGCCAGCCTCACTATTGTTGCCACGCTTGAGTCAACAAAAATAGAAGGATTTAAAAATTGTACCAGGCAATGATGAAAAGATTAATAATGTAATCTGTTTAAGAAGATAGTTTTGTGTTAAGGCAAATTAAAATATTGCACATGTTAAAAAATAAAATTTGGATAAAGTCAGAAATTGCTCTGAAATTGATGTTCCTGAGAAGCAGTATCATCCAATAATGTCCCCTGAATGATAGATACATCGTGGCTCCTTGTTCAGCATATGAATGTGCATCTCTGATTATCTAAAATCTTATAAGATTTAGCATAGATTTCATATCCTGCATAGGGAGTCCTGGTGTGGCTCTGTAGGATAAGTACTGACTGGATTGTTAACAGCAAGGTCAGTAGTTCAAACCCAATAGTGTATCCTCAGAAACGCTATACAGCGTCCCTATGAGTCAAACCAAGTGACTTAGCAAACGCAACAACCAATAGACTTGGAGCTATATTTTGGGAAGCTGATGTTATGTTTTCTCTCTCTCTCCTTTATCAGAAGATATATATA